CTACTTCAGAGGGGAAAGGTCTATTCAACATGTACACAACTTTTTTAAAAAAAAGATTTATTTATTGGCCCTCCCTGGTGGCGCAGCTGGTTAAAAAGCACAGCACAAAGAAGCTTAAACCACTTCCGCATGAGTTCGATCCCTGCCTGCCCCGGAGGTGACCACATGGTGTGGCAGACCTCTCCTGACCCGCCCGCTGCTCCCCTCAGCAGTGTACTTCATCGATCTTCCTGTTCTGCACCCCACTCTGTCTCTGGTGAATCCTCTCACCCTCTGCATCTCTGGCCTGTACCCCAGTTCTGTATGAATAAATAAATAAATCTTTAAAAAAAAAAAAGATTTATTTATTTATGTATACAGAATTGGGGTACAAGCGAGAGGGCAGGGGCAGTGAGAGGGTTCACTGGAGACAGAGTGGGGAGCAGAACAGGCAGATCGACGACAAAGTACATCGCTGAGGAGAGCAGCGGGCGGGTCAGGAGAGGTCTGCTGTGCCATGTGGGTCACCTCTGAGTGATGGAACTCTCATCATAGCAGCTATGGCTAGCTTGCAGTGCTGTGCTTTAACCCTTTGCGCCACCAGGGAGGGCTCTACACAAAAACTATTTCTGATCAAAGAGGTATAATGCTTCTCTGAGTGTCTCTCAACAAAGCTAGTGGCTGATCTAGTGGACCTGGGGAGATACACAGTGTGTGGACAGAGGGATTTAGAGGCAGGGGTCTTGGTCAGGGTAGGCCCTCAACTGCAGGGAGTAACAACGCCAGTGTCTGGTACTTGGGGGAAGTGATTGCTCAGCAGTTTCATTCTTAGATGAAATGGGTTTAAAATTAGTTCTGATGAAGACCTGTGGCCGTGCTTTCAGGATAATCAGTCTCTTCTTAGGAGCACGGGAACTTCTTTTATTCCCAGCCTCCCCATTTCAGTTCTCCCTCAACCAAGAGCCCCTGGAGTTGTGCAGTTCTTTACGGCTGTATGGATTTCCTTAGATACACACTTCCATTTTTCCTCCTACATAGATCTGATGCTCCGTTTGAGTATCAGCCTCTTCTCTTCTTGTTGTTCTCCAAATCATCTGTGGAATTGTCTAGTGGCCCAGTAGCTGCATAAAAGGACTTGACTCTGTAACCACACCAATGAGTGGCTATGAAATAAGCTACAGTAGTTTAAATTACTTTAGGATCTGGAGGCACCTATGAATTCCAGGCATGACCAAGAAAATAAACTTCAGTGCTTGCCTGCCTCTATTTTAGCTAGGTTGTCTATTCTTTGGGTTTAGATATAATTAACAGCCCCCTCATTCATCAATGTACAAGTGGTAGCGATGGTGTATATACTCCCTGATTAGCCAAAATCCAGCTCAAAGGTATTCCACTATTTCTTATTACTTGAGCAAACAGTTTTCAGTAGGTCATCATTCCCCAGGCGGTGAACTGTATTTACTCTCTCAGCCAAGGTTGAAATGAGTACCCTGAGTGGTCCTGACTCCTGACTCTATGGGTTCTATGTAATAAGCTGTGGTCCACTGGGATGCTGAGAAGCCCCACGCTTGGAGTGCTCACAGAACAATGAGTCTTAATTCTAGTTGGCTTTGGAGACTCTGGTTTGGAAACAAACCATGTCATCATGCAGGCACTATTATCCCTCTATATTTATAGGTGATATCATTGGGAGTTTACAGGAAAGTTATTAAATGCTAAGGTCTCTGCAAAAGGCATCACCAGACAGCCCTGGACATCTATTCTGCCATCATAGAACATGGGTTCTTCTGATGACTTTTCTGCTAAGAGTAAATACAAGTGTCTTTTTACACACATCCCATATACTTTAAGAACCAAGGTCTTGGGTCTTATTTTTATTTCAGTTGCCAGCTGTTTTATCCAAAGGCCAGAAGTTATTTTGATTTCTAGTTTGAAAGGGATTAGGAGATCAGAGTTGGCATTCCCCATTCTTATTTATTTTCTCTAAGGCTCCTCTTTTAGGTCTGAACACTTTGCATAAAACATAAAAAAGAAAAGCCTCCACTTACAAAAGCTGCTGGTCTACCCTACACTTTACAAGTGTCCTGGAGTCCACCGAATCTCCTACTGATTCATCTTGAATTATTTTCTCAATTTTAAAATTTGCCCAATCTGCCAGTGAAAGACTTCTGAAATATTTTCATAAGATAGCTTTCCTACTTTTCTTATCTTCTCAAATTCATTTTTAAAAAGACTTATGTGCTAATAGATTGTTAAATCCTCTGGGTTTTTTTTCCTATAATTTTCTTATTGCAGAAGATCAACAGTAAAGTGAATTCATTAGTACAAATGTGAGAGTCTAGGGAATTAAGTACCAGAATAAACAGAACCCTGAAACGCAACCATGTTCATCATTCTGAAGTCTGGGATGAGTCAAAATATTTGCCCTTGACTCAATTCTCACCAAGAGTTGAAATTCACCCTCTCTGGATCCACCTTCTGGTTCAGGTGTTTAAGAGGATATTGTGCACTGTTGAGTTTCTTTTTTAAAGAAATGCACCATGAAGAAACTTATGTAGGTAGTCAGGGGAAGGAATAGGAGGAGTATGTAAGTCATAAGGATATAGTTGGGTGGAGAGAGAAAGAGATGCGAAGAAACAGGTTTCAGAAAATTTGAGTGGGAGTGAGCTTTTTCCCCCTTTCTTTCTGGGCCAGGATATACCAACCAAAGAAGTCCTCTGTTGACTATCTGGTGTTTTGGTTTCTTTCTTTATTTTCTCTTAATTTTAACATTGAAAGTTGGCCAGAGGGCCACTGTAATTCTCAGTCATCTGGGGAAAGCTTTTCATTTAAGTCAGGCACATGAGAGCACATACAGTGAGACTGTACTATGTAAAGCAGGTTTTTTTGTTTTGTTTTGTTTTTGTTTTTTAAAGATTTGTTTATTTGTGCATACAGAACTGGGGCACAGGCCAGAGGCTCAGGGGCGGAGAGAGGCTTCACCAGAGACAGAGAGGGGAGCAGAACAGGCAGATCGACGAAGTACACTGCTGAGGGGAGCAACGGGCGGGTCAGGAGAGGTCTGCCACACCATGCGCTCACCTCCGGGGCAGGCGGGAATCAAACTCATGCAGAAGTGGCTTTAGATTCTCAGTGCTGTGCCCCAACCCGCTGCACCACCAGGGAGGGCCATAAAGCAGGTTTTTTTACATTAATTATTAATTTGTGGTAACATTGGTTTCTAGCTCTGTATATGATTCAGAGGACAAGTTCACACCTCCTCAGATGTACATCACCACGGCCTTCCCACCCAGAGCACTCGCGTCCCTTATTGTACACCATCGCACCTCTCCCCTCTTTGTTCCCACTTCCTCCCCCATCAGTGCCCCAATTCTGCTGTCATTTCGAGATTTTGTGTTAGTTTAGTTCTGCCAGTTTCTTTGTTTTGTTCTCTATACTCTACACGAGTGAAATCAGTGTTTTCCTTTCTCCTTCTGGTTTATCTCACTTCACATATCTCCTCCTAATTCCATCCATGTTGTCACAAATGGCAGATGTTCATCTTTTGATGGCTGAATAGTATTCCACTGTGTGTACTAGTGAGTGGATTAAAATGGATCACATTTTAATCCACTCACTAGTCATTGAGCACTCAGGTTTTTTCCACAACTTGGCCTTCCTAACTAGAGTTGCAATGAACATAGAGTGCATATATTTCTCCAAATCCCTATATTTACCTTTGGGTAAATGCCAAGGAGTGGAACTACTGAATCACATAGTATATCTAAGTTTAATATATTGAGAAACCTCCATACTGTTTTCCACAAGGACCGAACCAGTTTGCAGTCCCAACAGTGTATGAGTGTTTCTTTTTCTCCACATCTCGTCTGTTTTTTATGATAAAGGTCATTCTCGCTTGAGTGAGGGGTATCTCATTGTGGTTTTGACTGTATTTCCCTGATGAAAAGTGATATTGAACAGTTTGTCATGTTCCTGTAAGCAATTTGTGTGTCTTCTTCAGAGAAGTGGCTATTTAGAGGTGTTGGGTTTTTCATTTGGATTCTTTGTTTTATTGTGTTGTATGACTTCTTTGTAGATATTGGGCAATAGCCTTTTGTTAGATGTATGATGTACAAATATTTTCTCCCATGAGTGAGGCACACAAATATTCTCTCCCATGAGTGAGGCAGCTGATTGAAGATTTGAGGGACACCTAATCAATGCCATAATGAGAATTTCCTAAGTGGGTTGGAGAGGTGGGGTGCTGCCACAGACAGGGGAGTGATGATAGGAAGTCCAGAGACCTAGAAAAAGCTGGTACATGAACAAAGGTGTCTGGAATAAAACAAGACCTTATAATTCTGGACCATCCATGCTAGAAAGATCCTTAGAAAGACTATAGAGCCTAACTTACTCTTGCTACTGAGAAGAAGCCTGAGACACAGAGAAAAACATGAACTTACCCAAAGTGAGGCAGCAAGTTAATGGCAGAACCAGGCCTAAATCTGCAAGACTACTTCAAACCCCCTGCTCACTGGACCAGCAGGCCCAGTGTGGAGCCAACAAGCCACAGAAGAGCAGGGGAATGCACAGAATGCCCCTGACTAGGAAGTTACTGGGTATTCGCACCACAAGAGACACTTTTCATAGATTTAGACCTTTATTTCTACAAAGTAGGCACTCCTATTCCCATTTGTCACATGATAATTGTGAGGTTGAAGCAATCTACCAAAAACATGCACCTACCATGGGGTAGAACACCTACCGGCATAAGGGCTGAGATGGCACACATGTGCATCTGCACCAGCTGGGATTCTGCAGTGGTGGAACCCTCCAGATCTCTACAGAGAGGTCTGGAGAGCTAGGTAAGGGGCTGGCATTTGCCAGCCACACTCTTATGTTTACTTAGGAAGCAGCGCTTCCCAGGGAACTGGGCTCAGATTTAAGATCGGCAGATCCATCAAGGCCTCCCTCAGGCAAAGCTGGCAGAATAGGACTGCAACTCCTTTCCATGGGTAAGAAAATCTGTATAAAATGGGAAAATGGCTTTAAAAGATGGTAACCCTAGCAAAAAGGCCTGGACCTGTTGCTACAAAGAATTTGGGTTAGGGGAGGCTGATGTATCTTGGGAGAGGCTGATCCCATCTGAGTAAATTTCCAATGGGCACCCAGAATTCAGGCACAGAACCCATGGTCTCATTCCTCCCCCTCCTTCAGCCCACAAAAGCCTGGCCTCAAAGATCTTCTGCTTGTGCTGCAGAGACTGTAGGGAGCCCCAAGATATGGATGATTCCAGCTCCTCCAGTCAAACCCAAGAACACCAGACACTGACCGGTAAGTGCTAAACACCCTGGCTGACCTCTGCACACCTCTCTTCTCATTCCCCTCCTGCTGACGTAACCCTCAGGTTTCCTTCAGCTTCTGATCATTCCAACCTGAGTGATGATGCGGCTTGAGGGCCTAAATACCCAGACTGATAAACTCCCCAGCCTAAAATATTGATATTCAAGTATCAGCACAATCAGCATCACCTAGAACTTTTAGAGCCACCCCCAACCCCCAGAGCTTCAAGAAACCTTCATGTCAGCATAAACCCCAGGTAAATGTGTGTGTACATTAGAGTTTGAGAAGCTCTTGCCTAAAATCTATAAAGTTAGCGGTAAGATCCCAGCCTTTGGGGCTGTGGCTCAGGCCTGTTTGAATCAGCCCTGGTCCAGAATTGCCAAACCACTTAACCTCTCACTCTAAGTTTCAGCACCTTCACCTGTACAATGGGGATACTTGGAATAGAGTAGCACCTTCCAGAATCACTGGGGAGATTAAATGAGGTAAAAACAGGAGTACATAGTACAGGTCTGATCCAAAGCAGGCTCTCCACAAATCGAGAAGATATGAGAGCACAGTCAGGCTGGGGTAGGCTAGAATATTAAAGTAAGTTTTAAAATCTCGTAGTTTACAAATGAAAGTGTATTTCTTCATGAAAAACCTAGCAAGCACCCATCAGTCATCCCTTTTCCACCTTTAGCCAAGACATCTGGAACTGGTGGTTTCCAAGGCTGCCATGTCGAAGGAAGAGACAGACAGAGAAGACATAAGGGTGTTTGCAATGTTATCCTTGATGGTCATAGTGGAGGAGACCAGAATGAGAGAAATAGGGGGTGGGGGGTAGTGAATCAAAGACAGCAATTTCCAACAGATAAAAGGTAGAAGCATGATTGTCAAGATCAGGCAGGGCTGACAGGTATGTGGCAGTGGACAGGTGGGACATCTGGCAACGTCCCACTGAGAGATCACAGTTCAGTGCCAGGAGACATGGCATAATTTGCCCAAAATCAGTAGTGAGGTTTTCTTTTTTTTTTTTTTAAAGATTTATTTATTTATTTGTACAGAACTGGGGTGCAGGCCAGAGATGCGGAGGGTGAGAGGATTCACCAGAGACAGAGTGGGGAGCAGAACAGGCAGATCAACTAAGTACACTGCTGAGGGGAGCAGCGGGTGGGTCAGGAGAGGTCTGCCACGCCATGTGGTCACCTCCGGGGCAGGTGGGATTCGAACTCATGCGGAAGTGGCTTTAGCTTCTCAGTGCTGTGCTTTAACCCACTGCGCCACCAGGGAGGGCCAGTAGTGAGGTTTTTAAAAATATCTCCCCTCAAGTAGTTTCACAATAAAAACCAAGAACCTTTTAAAATGATGCCTTTTTCCCAATACAATAATACTAATTACTGAGCTCCCACTTACCTATAAGGCACCTTCTAGCCACTCCAGACACAGCTGTGTTCTGATAAATCCCTATAGTTTTAGAGCTTACACACCAGCAAATGGATATTATTTATTCCCTATAGTTATTGTAAAAGTGGATATCTGTCCCAAATGGATGTATTCTTCTGCAGATCTGAAAACAGGCAGGGAGAATGCCTGCTTCTAGAAAGGGACAGAGTGAGTAACTCTATCACAGAGCACAGCAGTATGACGATCAAATTCTAAGCTGTACTTTTCAGCATCTAGAAGTATATAAGAGCAAAGCCTCTGGCTTAACAAAGGAGAGGCCAGGGACCCACACCCTGCAACAGTGTTCATCACAGAAGCGGTGAAATTTGACAACAGTCTAAACACCCAACTATAGCATATTGGTTAAATAAATCTTAAATTACCCATAAAATAGGCTACTACACAGCTATTATTTCATAAACACAGTGACGTGAGAAAATGTTTTTGATATAGGGAGCAGGTAAAATAAACACGTAACAGGATGTGATGGACTGTGTAAAATATTAACAGGAAAAGATTGCAACTGGGATACTATGAAAAGGAGGAGTGCTTGGGCCATTTTTCCTCTTTCCTATTCTCCCCATTTCCTAGCTTTTCTGTAACAGATGTGCATTACATTTATAAACAGGACAAAAGCAACCTTCATGTTTTAAAAAGAATCAATGTTAAAAAATAGAAGAGTCCTGCATCCCTTACCGGAGACCAGACTTCCCACCCATAACCACCACCAACACCCCCTCTGCCTGTGCACACTGCCTCCATTGGTGAGACACCTTCACTTTCACCATCTCCTTCGAGCCTTCCCGCAGGAATGGAATTGTCATTGCCAGGTTTGCAGCTTCAGAAGAATGAACTTGGCAGACAGAATCCCAAGCACACCAACCCAGGCAAACCCCTGATCCATCCAGAAGAGGACACCTTCAGCAGCAGCTTTGAGTTTGAGAGTGAGTCTAAACTGGGAACCAACACGGGCCAGCAACGCCAGGGCAGGGGAACTCATCCTGATGACCAAACCCCACTGATATTTGAGCTAAGTGGGGCAACAGGAGAGACACCCCCCAGGGACTGCAGTCTTATCCTAGAACGGACTGGAGAGACTACAGGGGTCAAAGATCTGCCTGCATGAACTTCCCAGCATGAGCCTCCATGAGCAGCAGCAGGTCTAGAGACAGGAGACACCTCCTGTGTTCTTGGGCACAGTGTTATGTGTGTAGTTTGTGTAGTTTGTGTGACTGTTTCACTAAACCAGCTTCAGCCACTAGAGAGTAAATTCCAGGAGAGCAGAATCCACTTCTGGTTTGCCCTAAACCCAGCCAGGTATGCACCCTGGACAATGCAAAGAGGTGCTTGTGACCCAGTGGAGTCCCCTGGGGTTGGACTGGGCCAGGGAAAGACAGAAGCCTGACGCAGGACAGTGGCACAGAGAGAAAGAAACACAGCCACAATACTGGGCACCAGTGCCGAGCCCGGGTGATTCCACACAGCTGGAATCTGTGATTCCATGAGGCCAGCTGTTGAAAATCAAGGATCACCCGGTCACTGATTGCAGAATTCTCCCTCAGTTAAACCCCCCTGCAAACAAAATTGCATATGGACTCCAACTTCTAAGAAAAGATCTAAGGGGTAGGCCCTGCTATACTTAAATGGAAAGTGGAGGTTGGGATCCCCACTAGCTCACTGACCTCCTCCTGACCACCCCTCCACCCCCAACCCCCATCCATGGGGCTACACCGAACAGTTTATAAGTCCACATCTCTGTGTACAAGAAGGCGGAGTCCCACAGGGGAGGGACTTTCTAAAAAGCCTACCAGGCAGTGAGCGTTAGAATCCAATGCACCAACTTCTACTTCCCAAGCCTTCCCAAGTCTCTGGGAGACGCTCCAAGTAAATTGCCCCAGTAAATTGCCACCGCAGAGCCTACTTGCAGGGAATTCTTCCTGTTGCAAAGGACGCGGGCAGCTCTGGCTGTCCCAGGGTAAGCACGACCATTGGTCCCTGTCCAAGCAACCCCCCATCCAGCGCTCTCTCTTCTTTCAGCTCTGCGGGCCAGCAATTCAGAAAGACGCTTTTACAAGAGAAACCTCAACCGGTACTCCCAGGAGCGCTGGCCATATCAGCGGTGCCTCATCGGGAAGCCCTGAGCCTTCTAGGCCCGGCCCACGCGTGGCCGAGGCTGCACAGCCGCCCGTGACGCGCGGAGCAAAGGGCGCGGAGCCCGGGCCATGAGGACGGATTCGGAAACTCCCCCCCAGGAGGAGAAGACGTCTGAGCCACCCCTGTGCCGCCAGCAGTCACTCCAGCTCCTGGAAAAGCCACCCAGGGAGGGTCTACCTCCAATTAAACTCTGCTGCCATCTCAGCACCTGTCTCTCCTTTTCGCCCCCTGGGCCTCACCGGGGAGTTTCTCTTGGGAGCAACGTTGTGTCGTTTTTAAATATATTGACCCAACCAGCTAACCTGAAACATTTTTTTTTTTTGATCTTTTGGATAGCTTTATCTTTAATTTTGGATTCATGTCAAACTTACAGAAAAGTTGCTAGACTAGCACAAAGGTCCAGTGGACCTTTACCTGGACGTACCAACTGCTGCTCTCACCTCCACCTGCCTCTCCACTGCTTTCCTCTCGCTCCCAGTCACTGCCTTCTAACCATCCCAGAGTGGGACCTGGCACCCCCCTCGCCCAACCCCTCCCCTGGCTCCTAAATGCTTCGGTGTGAGTTTCCTGGAACCAGGGTACTCTTAAGCAACTACGGCACAGTTTCAAAAGCAAGAAATTCTACCTTAATACAATGCCAAGTGAATTTCATCAGTTGTCCCCAAAATGTCTTAAACTGATTTTTTTTTTTTTTTTGCATGATGCAGGATCTTAGCCAAGATCCCGAATTGCATGTGGTTGGCATATCTAGTCTCTCTAATCTGGGACAGTTTTGTCTTTCTGTTCCTGAGCTTTATCTTTCTGAGGACACAGGCACAACTGGCACACAGAACACCCTTCAGTTTGTGTATGACTGGATTCAGTTTGGGGCTAACAGGAAGGGAGGAAGCGACAGCAGCAATTCATCAGCGCCCCTGTCCTAGCAGAAAAGACGCTAAACGATTCCACCTGCCATTAAGTACTGGCGGGATCAACCCTGAATGCTGAAAATGCTCCAGTCTCACGCGCACCCTCTTTCTGCCAACTACTAGCTGTGTCACCTGCATCGAGAGAGCAGAACAATGTTCTGTGCCTCAGTCTCCTCACCTGTAAAATGGGTGCAGTTATGGTATATGCCGGTGGGATGTACTGGCCTTTCCTTCACGCTGCTTGGCCATACCTCCTTGGAATGTTCCTCCCTCCGCCTTTTACACTGGGCTTTGTCATGTGACTTGCTCCAACCAATGGGAATTTAGCAGTGGGGGGGGGCGCCAGTCAGGGCTTAGAAGTGTGATCTCAGTGGGCTTGCTTTCTCCTGCCTCTTGAACTCCCATGAGAACATGCCTACGGAGCCTACTATTCCAAGAAGGATTTAAAAGCTGCCTAAGGTGGACACCCCAGCCAAACTGATATGCATGGCAGACAGCGTGGCTTCATGGGCCGAGGGAATCACCCCCAGAGGGGATCAGCAGCGCCCTCCTTCCTCCTTGTTGTCTTCACTGACTAGTTAAACCTCCGCCCCCAGCTTCAGCTAGGGCAGTGGGAGAGAGAATGGCAGAAGACAGTGGGAACATTTATGATACAGAATCAAAATGCCTTGATAAAAGATTAAATGTAGGGAGCAGGAGGAACAGAAGATTCCTATCTCTGACTCCAGACACAAAGTAAATAGTGGGTTCTGACCCAAAATAGGGAACTGGATGGAGAAATAGGTTTGATCAGACAGTGGGGTGAGGGGGGGAGGTGGAGGAAGTGGCCCCCCAACACAGTCAAAGCAAACCTCCCTGCCATCATTAAAGACAGCTGTAGGCTGGGCACTGATGAGGTGAGCAGTGTCCTCCGCCCAATTGTCATGTTCCTGGAACAAAACCTATACCTCATCCCTTGGTAATATTGTCTGCTTAACCAAAGTTACAGGCTGGCCCAACAATTCCCAGCATGTATTATCTGCTCACTCTAATCCCTACACTGGGCATCAGCAGAGAGCCAAGGAGTCCGACTCATGTGATAAATCACAGGATTCATCAGAAGGAACACTGAACCCATGTAAGCAAATTCCAGGATATGCTGAAACATAACCCATGAAGAAGAATGCAGTGGTAGTGGTAGTGGGGGGTGCATTTAAAGAGGAAAAATTACAAGGTGACAAAGCTGAAGGTGTTCCCTGAAAGGTAACCTTTAATCAAAGACTTCAAGTCAGTGAGGGAATGTATTCTGTGAGTCTCTAGCATTCCAGGCCAAAAGTGGAACAGATGCAGAGGCAGCCATGTTTTGGGATGAGGACATGTGAGGAGGATTAGGCAGAGGCCAAAGTTCAATGATCTTTTTTTTTCGGGAGAAAGTCCAAACAAGAATTTGAACTTTTATTCTGCATAATATGGGAGCCACGGGGGACTCCAAGCAGAAGCATGAAGTAACCTGATCTAGATGTTGAGGGGATTCTATTGTGTTGACATTTAATGAAGCCCAGGTGGTAGATTTAAGAGGCCATTGCAATAATCAGGTGAGAAGTGGCAGTGGCTAGAAGAGTCAGGGACCTGGTGCCCAAGAATAAGGCTAGAGTGAGCGATGGAACTCTCAAATGGAACTTCAGTCACAGGGAAAGGGGAGTGAGAGCAGGTGATGACAAGGAGCCTGAAAGTGAGAAAGGAGGTTGGGAATAGGACGAGGACTTAGTTAGCAGAATGGAAGAGTTCCTGGAGAGATGATGCTGCCCAATCGTCAACTATGAAGATGGCAGCATAGGCCCAGAGACGGGCATGGATGAGCCCAAACCCGCAAAGCGAGCTAATGACAGAGCTAAGAAGCAGCCAGGCTGAGCTGCCTGACCACGTTCCCCTGGGTCCTGGCCCAGCTGGAATGTACTGGAACCACCAAGCTAAGGAAAAGGAACGGAGAATGAGCATAGGCCCAGCACTTTCATGCATGCCATCACTTTATGTAGTTAATCAGTTTATGTAATTCATCTTTTTTTAAAGAGTTATTTATTTATGCATACAAGAACTGGAGTATAGGCCAGAGGTATGGTAAAGGGGTGAGAGGATTCACCAGAGACAGAGTGGGGAGCAGAACATGTAGATCTACTGAAATACACGAAGGGGAAAAAATGGGTGGGGTCAGGAGAGGTGTGCTGCACCATGTGGGTCACCTCCATGGCCAGAGATTGAATGCGTACTGCAGTGGCTGCAGATAGCTTCATAGTGCTGTGCTTTAACCCTTTGCGCCACCAGGGAGAGCCTTATGTAGTTAATCTTTTATTCCTATAATGCTACTACCATTCTCATTTTCCAGATAGAAAAGTGAGGTTCAAAGAGATTACAGAATGAGCCCCAGAGAGCACACCTGAAAAGAAGACAAGTCTGACTTCTAGACACCAATTTGGACCCTCCCTGCACTATGAAGTCTCCACAGCCACTGCAGCAGGAGTTCAATCCCATGCCAGGGAGCTGACCCACATGGCACAGCAGACCCCTCCTGTCTCTCCACTGCTCCCCTCAGCAGTGTATTTCAGTAGATCTGCCAGTTCTGCTCCCCACTCTGTCTCTGGTGAATCCTCTCATCCCCTTCATCTCTGGCCTGTACCCCAGCTCTTGTATGGATCAATCAATAAATATTTAAAAATAATAAATAAATAAATACCAGCTTGTCTGTGGCTGCTGCTGAGTGTGCTGGACTTCTGCTACCATAGGATCCAGCAGAAACAGGACTAGCACAGTCAGAGTCTAGCATCCGTTTAGCAAATACTCCTTCCCAGAGACCTGTGGCAGCCAAGACCTGCTGACTCAGCAAGGTGTCCCCACAGGTGGACACTGGCAGCGTAGAGGCACATTTCCATGGGTAAGAGAACAATGGACAGATAAAGGACAGTCAGGCCCAAGTAGGTGGGTTTGACCTGCTGTCTGCAGGGAACTACAGAGGCTTGAGAGAGGGGAGGGGCATGATGCCTGCGGAGAGGCTGGCCCAGTGTGACCCACTGCTTAAACAATAATGGGCTTTTGGGGTTGGGACTGCCAGATGGCCAGTACCCTTTCCTCTTCCCACAGCAACCAAACTATGGCGTCCAAGATCCTGTGTTGCTGTTGCTGCAAGACCAATGATGGGTCGTCTACCACTACTCACTCCTCAAACCCAGCATCATTTCAAGAGCGTCACCCACGGTCTTTCAGTAGGTTCCAGATGTGAGTGTGTGGTAACTGGCAAGCATACTTTAGTAGTTCTCTGGACGTCTGTCTCCCTAGTCACCTTCTGCTGGGGTACCCTCAGATTTCTATCAGTGTTTGGGAGGGAAACTTGTAATATAGCCTAGATTGTATTAGAGAGTAGATGCTAAAGAGATTAGATATCAATTAAATTTACTGGCTTTCATCCTACTGACCAGTTAAGTTTAGCCTCGGCCACTTACTGGGCTTGAATTGAGTTTGTCACTGAACCTCAGCAGGCTTCTGTGCAAGATGAGGATAGTGGTAACACACTACCCACTTTCCACGTTGTTGGAAGGATGAAATGAGGCAACAAATGTAAGTAGCTAGAATATGGTTCCAAAGAAGAAGACCTTCAACAGCTGGTTGTTATAAGTACATTAGTCAGGATCAGCCGAGCTGTGCTGCAGTAACATAAATCCTACCATCTCAATTGCTTAACGCAAGCAAGCTGAACTTTTTTTTTTGGAAAGCCGTTATGATATGAGCAATCCCTGAGTGGGATATGACCAAGATTGTTTATTCATGTGTAACTCAAAGCCTACCCCCAGGATAAATGTCTTCCTTGCTCTTTCAGATCTGAACACAAAGACTCGCAAACATCATCTTCATAAGAGACACCCACACCACTCTTCCAACTGGGGAATGAAGACGTGCACTCATGGAAGGCCCTGATCCTTGTAGGGGCAGCCCCCACAAATGTGTCTGGGGCTGCACAGCTGCCGTCATGGCGCTAGGAGGATGGGGCGCTGAGTCGGGCCATGAGGACGGATTTGGAAACTCCCCCCCAGGAGGAGAAGACGTCTGAGCCATTCCTGTGCCGCTAGCAAGTCACTCCAGCTCCTGGAAAGGTCACTAAGGAAGGAGCTGCCACCAATTAAAGTCCTTGGTTGCATCACAGGGCGTGTCTTTTCCTCCCTCTTTCCCTCCCTCACACTTCCCATGAAAGTGGAGCAGTCAGTGCCGGCATCTCCTGTGAAGTGACTGAATCCAACAGCGCCGGGGCTTAACGAGCAGACCCGACCCTCTGATCACGTGGCTTGTTCCCCTGGCAACCCATTCAGAGGTGAGGTCCCAATGAAGCTGAGGAACCACCGTTGATCTTATCGGTTAGAAAATTCCAGTACCAAAATCAGCAGGGATATGCATTTGAACAATGTAAGTCAAAACTTAAGACTAGCAGACACAAACAAGGCAGCGTCTGGGGAGGAAAAGCCGTGACTGGAGGGCCTCGCTCTTGACCATACTGTGACCCACATCTGGGGCTTTGCATGCACCACTGCAGTTACTGCCCCTTAGTATCACCACCCTTTCTTCACAGACATGGAAATGGAGGTACAGGGGGATCAGAGAGGGTGAGCGTCGGGCCCAAGTTTGCTGGCTGCTCTTCCCTTGCTGGTGAGACTGTCTCCCAGTACTAAATTGCAGAGCCTTGACAGTAACCTTCACTGTCCTACATAGGCCCCAGTAGACTCAGTGGGGTCTGGTGCAGACAGAACATTAATAGTTGATGACCTACCACAGCCACATATGCCGAGGACCCACTTGATACAAGACACTGAAATTTAAAAAAAAAAAAAAACAATTTATTGAGCTCTTCTTCAAGCTCGAAACTCGAGCCCTTCGCAGTCTCTAACAAGCAGGTCATAGTTTATCATTCCATCTTCACAATGATCTGCCAGGCAGGTACTCTTACCTCCATGCCACAGGGGAGTGAGACCAAGGGTGGACAGACACTGCTCCTAGCCATGTGGGTTTGGATAAACGGTGGCCCCAGAAAATAAGCAACTTTCACTCCCAACTCAGGACAGGGCGCCATCTCCCTATCACCAATTCTGTCATTAACCCTACAAAGCTGGGGTGGGGATGGTTTTCAAATAGGCAAGGCTAAGATCATGAATGAGGAGACCGAGGCACAAGTGTCAAATATATACTTGGTGGGCACACTCTGAATGCCCCACCGGGGCATTCAGCCGGGGAGATGATCAGAAAAACTGAAGAGAGAAAAAGGCAGGAAAGAACATATCGAGGGCTCTTAAGTAAACCTTCAAATTGAGGACCTGCTGCTTTGTCATTTGACACACACTCTGATTCTGCTGTTATACTTACCAGGGCGTCATGGCTGGGTGACAGACATGTGCTTCTACGCTCTTTGCCCACATGTCCTCTGTGGCAGAGATGAATAATTCTCACAGAGCAAACCCGCCCTCAGAATTGGCTAAAGAGAAATGCGTAAAACGGCCATTTCTCTTCTGGCCCCGAGAAAGCAGATAGTTTGACATCTCTCTTCCATGACAAGTCTATTCCTACAGTTTCTGTTTCCCAGATCCATTTTATAAGGAAGTGAGCTGATATTCAGAGAGGGTAAGTGACCTGGCCAAGGTCAAACATCTAGGAAGCAGCAGATCGGAAATGAAAAGCCAGGTCTCCTGCTAGATGCTAGGGTTCCATCCAAAGGTGCATCTGGTGTGGAACACCTCAGGGCCAGGGGCACTCAGACCTTCCCACATGTAGAAAAGGCATGACAGACATGCCAAGGGACAGAATGGTGCAGAAAAAGCTGGAAATGTCCGGCTTTGGAAATTTGGAAAGACCAATAACTATCGCCCATAATTTATATAATCTACCCAAGTATACAGATGGGTAAACTGAAGGTCAATCAAAAGTCATATAGTTAGAAGTGGCAGATAGGAAGAACCCAAGTATGAGCCAACCGTATCACATCTGAATATGAAGAGTAATTTGGAAAAGCTACTATGGGAATGACAAAGTAATCAAGCCACATGGCCGATCCAGGTCATGCACAATAAAGCTAAGGTGTGTTATGCATCCTCAAGGAGTGTATCATCTACTAGAAAAACTGGCATGTGGACAGGAAAATAGAATAACAAAAACATCAGTAAAGACAGCAGCTACGTCAGGAACTTAATGAAGACAGAGCATAGCAGGGCCGGTTAGTAAAAGCTTCCTGAAGGAGGAGCAAGTAATTGTGGGCTTTGGAGCATGCATAGGAGTCCAACAGATAGAAAAGAAAGGTATGCCATGCAGGAAAGTTACAATTTATGAAGTAGTTTTGTAGAAGATGAAGCCAAAATTGGAGCTGAAGGCCAGGTCTTGGGCGTTCAGGAGATTACATGACGGAGCAGGGCTGTTGGTCTTGCTCCAGCAGAAGAGTGAGGAGGGTCTTCAAACAGGTTTAGGAGCAGGAACCGAGAAACCTTTGAGCTCTTGATGGGAATCCACAAGACACAGATTCTGCTTCATTCTAGGACATTCTGTTCATGTCAGAAAACAGGAGTTCGGCTCTGCAGCTGAAGGATAAACTCAAATCACGAGCGCACATGCAGCTAAGCGAGTAAAACCAGACAGGACCAGTCTTCTCCAAACCCTCTAACAGCAGTTATCTGCCATTTGTTTCTTGCTTCTGTCTTCTGGAGCCTGTAAGGTTGCAGACAAGAAGCTTCCACTCTTCATAAAATAGAAGGGAAGGAAAACTTAAAAACGGAGAACTCTTTGCTTCCTTTCATCCGGTTGTGGACAGGCAGTCTGAGGGCCAAGGCAACACGCACGGCACCATATCCTCCTGGTGCCTCCCTTTCTCCATCCGGCGTGACGAGAACAGGCGCATCACCTGCAGACTAGTTTGGCCCAGTCCAGTTACCTTCACATTTCCTGGGCTCTCCAGAGGAGAGGCCCTTGCATCCTCCTGCCCACGGGTCGAAGCAGCACAGAGAGCAGCTTGAAGTGGGTCCACGTTCTGGAAAGGCCTGTAGTCAGGGTGCAGTGCACACAGCTGTTTTTGTGCAGAATCCTGGGGTGAGCACAACATCCTACGCTGAGAACCTGCAGAGCACCCCCAGAGGCTTCTCTTCTCAGGAGGGCTGGCACCTGCCACCTCAGGCTCCTGAGGCCTCCCCACGCCCCACCTTCAGTCTCAGGGGAAGAGTACCTTAGTCCTAGGTCACCTGGCCAGAAACGGGCAGCACCCAGGACCTAGGATGTGGGCTTCTATGAGCTGGCAGGGGCAGGGAACACTTGGAGAGTCTGTGTGCCGTGTTCCCGCAGACTGGGGGAGCTGGGAGGTCACAAGGAGCCGAGTGTAGTAGCCACCAAACACCGCCAGCAGCTGCTGGGCCATTTCCTAGAAGAGGCAGGAGCAGAGTGAGGGCCGCAGAGGCACATGTACTGCCTGAGGGAAGCCATTCGGCACTCACACCCCCCGACCAGCAGTGACGGTCCCCTGAAGGTCCCCCAAAGGGACCTGGCCAGGTCTCACCTGGGGCTCTTAGAAGATGTTTGCTCCGAGGCTCCTGCAGCTTCCGTTGCCTGTTCCCAAGGTAGAGAACCTAACTCCGATAGCAAAAGAGCTCCAGAGCTCAACCCACCGGAGTAATTACCACCCGCTTCCAGCCAAGCACATGTGCACACAGACTTTTTCTAGTTTCAAATGTCTGTGACTCTAGAGAGTGCATGAGGTAAAGTCATACACTTGAAGAAAATCACTAATAAATGGAGGCAGGGTGGGGGTAGCAGTCTCTAAGTTTTCAACTTATATAAGCACCTGATGGACTTCTTTAGACAGGTACCTTGGATGTGAGTTTGCTTATAAAAGTTGAATTTATCACAAAAAGACAAATACTGAATTATTTCACTTCCATGAGGCACCTAGGGTGGTAAGTTCAGTGACACAAGGAGGTCAGCGCAATCTGCCTTCTATGCACAGGGTCCTAGATTTGATTCCCACTGGCACCACAAAACTGCGTTATCAAGAATCTGAATGTCAGACTGTCATCTACCTATGCTCAATATTTCATAGTAGGGCCTCCCTGGTGGTGCAGGGGTCACAGTCTCAGCTTTACCACAGTCTCAGCCACTACAGCCTGAGTTTGATCCCCAGCTGGGGAGATGATCCACATGGCATGATCCACAGACCTCTCCTGTCTTTCCCATTGCAGTGCATTTCAGTCCATCTGCCTGTTCTGCTCCCCACTCTGTTTCTGGTGAATCTTCTCACCTCCAACACCTCTGGCCTGGACTCAAATTCTTGTATGCATAAATAAATAAAAATAAATCTTAAAAAAATATTTCATAGTAAAATTTAAAAGTAAAATAAAGTGCAAAAATCTGAGTGAAAAAAGAAGTAGACTGGTGTTTTTCAGTGATTGGGGGTGGGAACAGCGAAGTTTGTGCTTATAATGAATGTGGAGTTTCAGTTTTGGAGAAATGAAAAAGTTCTGAAGAGAGAAATTGATGGTTATATAAAAATAAAAATACACTTAATTTCACTCAATTATACTCTAAAAATGGTTATGGTGATAAATTTTATATTATGTATATCTTATTGCTATGAAAAAATGTGAAAAGGTTAACAAATTTAATTGGATTTAATGCAAAATCTAATGCAATTAGTTTCTAAAGTTTCATTCTTGGGTCTGGCAGTTGGAAATACAGGGAAAGTTCCTCCATTCTGTACATGTGCAGTGAAGGTCCTCCATAACATACGTCCAATCTGAATGTGATAAAATACAATGTGGGTGACATCCAAGCTGGTGATGCCGGCAGAGTCCATTGTTAAGGACAGGCAATCAGTAGGGTCAGGTGGAAATTTCAGCTCAGCTACAATGTGCTGACCTTGAGCAGGTTAGTTTATCTACGGGGCTCATTTCCTCATCAGTATAAGGGGAAATCGTAGCATCTATCTGGTTGAGCTGAGGGAGGATTAAAGGAACTAATGGACAGACAGCCCAGTACCTCGGGCTTAATTAAAGATGCTTACCATTGTCATCACTCAACAAACCAGACAACACTCTCATTCTGTAGGGTCAGTGCTTGCTTTGAATTCTCCTTTGTGTTCAAAATACTGAAAACTTCAAAGAGTCTGCTACTCACTAAGACAGACTGGTCTTCTTGTCCATTATTCTAAAATCAATAGTGTAAGAAGCAAGAATTGGTCTAGTTAGAATCATTAAGGGTGGCTTCTGCCCTTGACTTTGCTGCTTTCTCCCTTGTTCTGTGACCTTGGGCAAGTCAGCAAATCTTGGAACATTAGTTCACTGATCAAGGAAGAAGATGAAATAACCCATAGCTCAGAAGGCTATGGAATTTTATGCATGATTAAAAATCTGTTAAAATGTGTAAGAGGGCATCATAATTACAACTCTGAATTTCACAGGCACTGAGTTCCTACTGAAATAGGATGGTTTGGCTCCTGGTACTGCTTATTTTTTTCCAGCCAAGTTACAAGGGCAGCTTCTTTAAAAAACATGTGCACATAGCTGAGACTTGATATTCATGGCAGGAAATTGTATTACTATTGGTTTGAATGAATTTGAAATAATAATTTAAAAGACCCATCATATTTAATGGGCTATTTCACATAAACCCAGACATCCGTGCCACAATAAAATATGCGACCTTATCAATCTTTTGGGCTATTTAAAAGAAAAGTCAATGAGATTCAAATGAAGGCATAATGTATTTATCATTTCTCTTTTAAAAGTCCTACTTCCAGGCTCCCGGCCCCTCACCAGTGCAAAAGGGAGAGTCTGGACTGGCTGTATCTTTAGTCCCCATATATACCGACTTGAAAAAAAAAAAGTGATCTCCCGAATCACACAGTGCCCCTGCTGCATGTTACCTGGACAATGGCTCTGTCCTTGTGGTGAGAATAGTGTAACATAGCTTCACACTGCTTTATCAGCTTTCTGGTCTACCAGCACTTGCGCATACCCAACAGATAGCTTGGGTGGTAGAACCCAACAGAACCCTAGGGATGAAGAAACTAGAACCCCACAGAGATGGGGGAAATTTAAACACCCAACAGCCAGTTAAGTGGCTACATGAGTAGATAATAGATTGACAGATTAAAAGTGACCCATCTGCTAGGGAGGCTGAAATCCAGCCACACGCATCTACACAGGCAATCAAACTTCCAGTAAGAATATTCAAGATCAAAAATTGGGGGTTGGGAACTCAATTAGTATAAAAAGAATCTATAACTGCTTTTTTAATATGAGGGTGAGGGAAAAATACATTGAAAACAAGTAGGCTATAGAAGAACCCTACCAACTCAATAGAACCATGTTCCTAGAACTCTAGAACTTAAACCCTCACACATACTCTCCACAAATACTCCACCTAGGAGAGTGACCCTGACTGGCTGCGCTGCCCTTTACCTCTGGCTCAGCCTCAGGAATGAGCTGGCGAAGCTCGGTCTGCATGAGTGGCTTCTCCCTGGGATGAGGACTGCTGGGCAGGAGAGGTGCTTCCTCCACCAGGCTCTCAGGCCCCTCCACTGTTGTTATGGGTTCCACTCCAGTCTCCATGACAACACATATCTGGCTCAACCTACTTCTCAGCAAAGACTGCAAAAAAAAAAAAAAGAAAGAAAGAAAGAAACCAAAGGGCGGCTCAGTGGTGTCCTAAGTTGGGATTTATCAGGGAGACCAAGTGGCTCTGTGAGCTACAGACCCACAGAGGTCACACGGATCCACCTATAGAATCAGGTGCTGATCTTGGGAGAATCTGGAACTGAGCTACCTGGGTGAGATCAGAAAATTCTCCACCGAAGTATGGATGTTCATGGGCTCTCCCTGGTGGCATAAGAGCTTACAGTGCAGCACTATGAAGCCATCTGCAGTTATTGTAGCACGAGTTCAATTGCTGGCCAGGGAGCTGACCCACCAGTGTGGAAGATCTCTCCTGTTCCACCTGCTGCTCCGCTCAGCAGTATATTTCAGTAGATCTACCTGTTCTCCTTCCCACTGTTTCTGGCAAATCCTCTCACCCTCTGCACCTCCAGCCTGTACCCAGTTCTTGCATACATAAATAAATATATATATTTTTTAATTTTTAAGAAGTATGGATCTTTGAGTAGCTTCTGGAGCACTTTTTCCTCCTTGTTCTTATTTGCTCTTAAAGCAGCCTGGAATGTGGGTATCCTCACCCAGACATTGCACATGGGCAAACTGCAGCTCAGAGGCCTTGGCCAAAGCCACACAGGAACTAACAGGCCAGGATCAGGACTAAACCAGAATAATGGCTTTAAGATCCACTAAAGCCCTTCTGGGGAACCAGGAAAAGGCTGATCCTACGGCTTGGGGATCACCAGCCAGTGCTTTGAACAGTAACAGGACTTCTGAGAACCTCAGTTTCTTCCTCTGTGGAGCCAGGTCAAGAGCTCTCTGACCTTCATAAGTAATAGGAAGACATTTTGTAAGAGGTCTTGTCTAACTACATGTTAATTGCCTCACTTGGGATCTTTATTATTGTTACCATTATTATAGATAAACATATACTCACTCTAGGAAATGCCAATAGTTAAGAAAGAGGAGAAACTCCTAATTCCTGAGGCAAAAATAATTGCTAATTGCACATGGGTATTTATCCTTTCAGATAACCTCTTAGACATTTTACCAACATACAGGTGATGTAATCTATACAATTTGGCCTCCTGGTTTATTTTTTTAATCCTGTTTTCACTTAAGGTAGCTTACCTCTTGGCTGGTCTTCATTTCTCGAACATGGTCAGACAAATATTGCACACAGTTCTCCAGGTCGAAGTAGACAAACCAGAGCTGAGGAGAGAAGAAGCCTGAGCCAGACCCACCTTAAACTTTCCACACCTGAGGTCCTCAGCCCCACCGTGCCCTCCAGCTGGAGTCCTGTCCATTTTTCTAAGCACAATCAGACTCATCGTGGTCTGGCAGGAATGTGCCATGCTGCTCTCTTCCAGAGACCCCACACAGAACTAAGTCTCCATTGTATGACTGGTAGAAATAGTGTTGTGTGCAAATTTGGAGAATATCAAACCCTGTGCAAAATGGGCTCCCAATACTTCTGGACTTTACGCTTCCATCTTTGGTCTTTGGACTTTAGTATTCCCTCTCGGGGGCTGGGATGCCCTTGTGTGGAAACCAACATGCAACTGAGCAAACCCCTTCAGAGCTGTCATTCTCACAGCCTATGTCAGGTCAGAGGTCATCACTTTGGGTGCTGGGAAGGAGGGGCAGGGAACAGCTATTCCCATCTGTCTCAATCTCAACAGTCCCCAAAGGTCCAGTCAAGTTTAGCGATGCAGGAATCCTCTATGGGCACACATTACAGCACCTTGTCAGGGCCACACCCTCCACACATCACAGCCAAGGTTCTGCAGGACACTGATGGCTGCATCTATCTCACACCTCCATCCAGCCACCAACCATGACCTCTGGACAGCAGACCTCCCACCTCCCAGTGACTGACCATTAAGATCCAGCATCACATCCCTCTTGTCAACTGGGCTCTATGCTCACTCATCCCCACGAGAAATTGTTTCAATTACTTTCTTTTAAGTTTCTTATGAAACTCTCCAAATGTACATAAAAACAGTGCAGGGGACTCCCTGGGGCCACAAGGGGTTAAGTCTCAGCACTATGAGGCAATCTGCAATGACTGAAGCACACGTTCTATCCCTGGCCAGGGAGCTGACCCACATGGCATGGCAGACCTCTCCCTCCCACCCACTGCTCCCCTCAGCAGTGTGTTTCAGTAGATCTGCCTGTTCCACTCCCCACTCTGTCTCTGGTGAATCATCTCTCTCTCTCTCTCTCTCTCTCTCTCTCTCTCTCTCTCTCTCTCTCACACACACACACACACACACACACACACACACACACACACAGACCTCTGGCCTACACCCCAGCTCTTATATGCATAACTAAATAAAACCTTTTAAAAAAGGAGGGGCAGAGAAAATCACTCCCAGCTCCCCATCATCTTGGTCCAACAGCTACTACGAGATGGCTCTTCTCAACCCTCACCCATCACTCACCTCAAGCCCCTTTATCCCCCACCACACCCCATTCCCAATGATTTTAAAGACAATCTAAAAAATTGCATTAACTTATCCCAAGAGAGACGTGGCCTACCTGGTTGGGTCTCAGCACTATCACTGCCACTGCCTGGGTTCGACCCCAGCCAGGGAGTTAAATCACATATGGCAAGCAAACCTCTCCTGTCTCACCTGCTGCTCCCTCTAACAGTGCTTTTTAGTAAATCTGCTCCCTACTCTTGCCTCTGGTGAATCTTCTCACCCACTACACCTCTAGCCTACATCCCAATTCTTCTATGCTCAAATAAAACCCACCAGAAAAACCAAGAGACGACTTGGAAACTGAAAGATGTGTCCATTCATGAGTCATCCAACTATCCATGCCTTCAAGCCAAGTCACCCCACCCACAGCAATGGATGGTAGAGTGGACTCAGAGCCAAAAGGCACTTAACAGGGTTCTGAGATTCAAGGAGCGCCCAGTTGATGGTGTCATACTTGAACTGCCAGAAGTCTTGTGATGTCCCCAAGCTCACCTCTGGCAGGACGCAAGATCCCCTTTCACCCTACACCATCTCAGGGGTGCTAGCCTCCATGAAGATGGATATCGATTGTTCTCTGCTATAGCCTAGCCACTTAACATGTATGACAGACACACAGTAGGCCCTCAGACAGCTGCTGAATACGCAGGTCTTACATGCAAGGAGCTTCTCCCCAGATCCCATCTGTGTGCCCGGCCTGGGCTCCCACCAGGCAAGGGGTAAGGACCATGGAGCGTGAAGATGTGCTGGTGAGGAGACTCAGAAACCCCACCAGCAGAGCCCAGCCAGGAGCTGGCCTCACTGCACCCCAGACCCACTGTGTGACATTGTCACCAAAAACCTCATAACTGAGAAACAACTGAGCTCCATGGACAAGGCCCATGGGCCTGCCTGCCTCTCCCGGGATCTCATCTGGGCCTCTGGGCACCCAACCAAGAAGTCCCACACAGGGGAGGCCCACCTGTCTGTGCGGGAGGAGTGGGCCGGATGGGCTCTCCTCCCAGCCCTGCTCCACAGGAAGATTCTCAGCTGTGGTTGCTGCCCAGAGAAGCATCTCCAAGAAGAAACATGGGGACAGTGAGGGAGGGCAGGGCTGACTCTGAGAGATACTTTGCCAGCTGGGAGAACATGGGGCCACGTCTCCCATCAACCCAGCCCAAAGGGGACCCTGAGGCCAGATCACTCTTAAACCCCGTACCTGAATCACGCTCTGGCAGCCTTCCACTGTGTCTGTCACCCCCAGTAGTACCCGATGTCTCTGAAGGGCTCCGTTGGCAGCTGCCAGCCTGAGGTCCGTGTTGGTGTTGGCCTGTGAAATAAATGCCAGTCCCGTGCCCAGACGTCCCACTGCCCGAGAGCCACTGCTCCACGGGCAATAACCACACACTGCATGGCCCATCCAGACACCATGCCCTTGAGATGTGCCATTTCCTCCCCTGTAAAGTGGGGTGGTGGTTGCTTGGCCAGTTCATTCAGTAGTGTCAGACAGCCCTGGGCAGCTGCCCAGCCCTGCTACTTCCAGGCTGCATGGCCCTGGACACATCACCCCCGTCCCTTGAGCTTTGCCTCCTTCAGCCGTGGAATAAGGCTGCAGAGTGTCCTGCCTCATAGGACTGTGGTAGATCTCTCTGACATGGTATGTGTGAGCACCTGACCCAGTGCTGGGATGCAGTGGAAACAGGGTGTCCCACATTTACAGGGGAGGGAGGTTGGATGGGCTTGAGCACACTGTGTAGCTGAAACATCTCCTCTGTCTCTGAGGCACTTCTTTTCCAAAGTGCCTGGCACAAAGCCTGGCCCTCAAGGAGGAGGACAGGAGAGGGGCAGAGCTTCAGCGGGCACCCACTGCCCGCACTGACCCCATCCTCATCCTTGCAGGACCTGCCAGGTCCAGACATCTTGTTTGCTCCCGTTATAGCACAACTTTTTTTTTCCCCATCCCCAAGGGAAATTTCTTGCAGCAAGAGCTGCCAGCTCGATTTATTTTTTATAGGCTAAACACAGGGCCATGAAAGCCCTAACTGAGCCCAAGGGCAGTGCTATTTTGTCAGCCTTGTTGCAAAGTCCAACAAAGATCCTTTCAGAATGATTAAGCCGTAAGGCTCCCATTTGTTCCTGTGAATAAAGAGAATCCCTACTCCAAATCCTGGCCACATTTCCCAACATCCCGCCTCCCCGAGTCAGGTGAGCACAGCATGTCTGTAAGAGATCTCAAAGCCCAGCTCTATGGCAGATGAGGGGAGTCTCCTGCAGGAGAGAGAAGCAGCATGGCAGGCAGAAGAACGCTCCCCCCTCCCCGCCCCCAAAGATGCCTGATCCTATTCCCTAGAGACTGTGATGTGACGTTCCATGACAAGAGTGAATTGAGGCTGCAGATGTTACCAATACATTGACCTCAGAATAGGGAGATTCCCCGGGAGCCCAACGCAACCATGGGCGACAGTGACGTGAACCATCCTCCACAGCTGGCTGTGAAGAGGGGGGAAAGGGCCTCAAGCCAAGGAACCAGATGGCCTCTAGGCGCTGGAAAAGGCAAGAAAACAGACATTCCCCTGGGGCTCCAGAAAGGAGATTCTAACCTCCAGAAATGCCCAGTGGGAAATGTGTATTGTTTCTGAAGCCATGATGTCTTGGTGATTTGGTATAGCAGCCACAGAGTACCCAAACAGCTGAGAATCTGGCCCGGAAACTGAGTGTCCTCACCCTGAATTCCAGCTATGCCATTATCAGCAGCATGGTCTTAGCTGTGTGCTCAGCCTTCAGCCTGGGGCGCCTCTGTCAATGAGGGCAAGCAGGGCTACCCCCAAAAGTACCAAGGGGTGTGACGAGTTAACATGTGCAACGCAATTAAGAGACAACCCATGAATGTGAGTCACTCAATAAGAATAAAAAGGCAGACGCTCAGGGATATTTTGGACTGTATGCTGAGAAATAGGGTCGTCATGTCGTTCGCTGTGAATGAGATCAGGTGTCAGAGGGCTCAGGCCCTGGTAACCCAGTTACTGCTCTGTTACTGGGGTCAAGGACAAGTGATCCAAGCTCAGACCACTCACTCTGCCTCACAGCTTGGTGTTGGTATTAAATGAGACAAGATGGTCAACAGAGCCCCAGGTCCGTGGCTGCACCCCCAGCCTCAGACACCTTGTGCTGGAAGATGGGCTAAGCCTTCAGCCCCCTGGGACCGGCGCAAGCATCACAGGGGAGGAGGCCCATGAAAGGGTTCGGGAAACACAAAGTGCCTGGGAATGGCGGCTACCTGTGCCCTCCCCTCTCTGCCCTCTTCTCAAACGCTGACAAAGCACAACTTGCTTCCGGGAAAACCACCTGCAGGAATTAGACTGCAAAGGCAGAGAGGATTTAATCACACATGACTTGATTTCTTTCAGCCATGGGGCACATGAATCAGTGTGAGTGTTCATTCTTTGAGGCAGATAAAAGAGAAAAATCTGACTTGGAATGCAGGAGGGATCTCCGGAAGCCTCACCTTCCTCTGGTGTCTCTCGAAGATGACCACAAGAGTCAGGGTTAGGCTCACGGCGGCCAGGGTCACGAGCAGCATGCCCACCCAGTGGTTTCCCAGGGCAAACAACTGGCTGGTGGAGTAGATGTTGGCCCATACCACCACGTAAAAAACCTGCAAAGAGCCAGAGAAAAAGCCTGCTCAGGAACCCAGCTCTGGAACAAAGCCGCTCCATCCAGAGAGACACCTCTCGACAGTCCGTGGGTGCTGCTTGCATTCAAAGAGCTCACAGGGCCTGGAAGAGACTGACTGGCGTCTGGGAGGAGGCCACATCATTGATCATGAGCAAAGGCAGAGAGAAGGGTTAGAAGGCCTTGCTCACACTGACTTTAAATTAATCACACTGACTTTAAATAAAATAGAAGAGGGAGGAACTTGGGAATGAGATAAACTTGAATCAGAAGCCTATGTTGATCCTTTGACCAGACAAGTTGGAACACCTCCTGGCCTCAGTTTTCTCATCTGTAAAATGGGACTAATAACACCGACTTCACAGAGCTGTTTAAGAGTTAATTAGGTAATGTTAGCAGCCTAGGCCTTACTAGGGGATCAATAAATCCAGCTGCCACCCAGTCCCTTCCCTAGAATCAGGACAGGAGAGCAAGGGGTGGTCCTCAACCACTTATCCATACAGAGAAACAGCAAATCATTGTGGTTAAAAGCACAGGTGCTGCTGGGCCCTCCCTGCTGGTGCAACGGGTTAAAATGCAGCACTATGAAGCTCTCCACAGCTACTGTGGCATGAGTTCCATCCCTGGCCAGAGAGGTGACCCACATGGCGCAGTGTACTCTGTCAGCCTGCCTGTTCTGCTCCCCACTCTGTCTCTGGTGCATTCTCTCACTAACCCTGCACCTCTGGCCTGTACCCCATTTCTGCAGCATAAATAAATAAATCATTAAAAAAAAAAGCACAGGTGTTGAAGCTCGACAGCCTGAGTCCAAACACATGTATGTGTATGTGCGTGTGTTTAAGTGTGTGTGTGTGTATGTGTGTGCGTAAACACACTGAAGTGAACTTTTCTGTTGAACAGATGAGGAAAGCAAGCCCCAGAGAAGGGAAGGCTTTGTCTTCGTACCCTGATCGGTTGGCATTGCTTCGCAATGCTCTGGAAGCTCCAGCAGCACAGCTTCTCCCCTCCTTTCTCTGTATTTGCGGGTGCCTCTCCAGATGTCCAGGAAAGGCCTAGTGTCACTCACCTACCAGACCCACCCCCTGCCCGTTCCCGCCCCCCGCCTCCCCTCGCCCTCCCCTCCAGTAACCACCATAACTTCCATCATGCGCAGGCTGTTTTCATTAGCGTGCTTGCTTTGTTTATCTCTAGAGGCCGCCTAGGAGCACAACCATCCAGTGATTGTCTTTATCCTTCTGATTTACTTCACCAGTGCGATCACTTCAGTTTCCATTCATGTGATCTCAAAGGCATGATGTCACCTTTTCAGCAGCTAATTAGTAGTCCACTGCATCGCTATACCACGGCTTCCTTACCTGCTCTTCCATCAGCGGCATTTAGGCTGCTCCCCCGACCTGGCTACCGGACTGCTGCTGGGCACCAGCATACAACGACCTTTCCCAGTTGGAGTTTTCATATTCTTTGGATGAGTAACTGGGAGCGGTATTGCTGGATCATATGCTACTTCTCCTTCTAGGCTTTTAAGAAATCTCCTGAAAGTCTTCACCAAGGGCCCACCCTGGGTTAAGCCGGTTAGTTAAAGCACAGCACTGTGAAGCTGGCCACAGCCACTTCAGCCCGAGTTCGATCCCCAGCCCCAGAGGTGACCCACATGGCACGGCAGACCTCTCTTGATCCCCCGCTGCTCCCCTCAGCAGTGTACTTCGTCGATCTGCCTGTTCTGCTCCCCATTCGGTCTCTGGTGAAGCCTCTCGCCCCTGAGCCTCTGGCTATACCCCAGTTTATATGCATAAATAAATATCTTTAAAAATAATGTCTTGACCGAGGCCAGAAGCTAAGTCCAGAGCCTGGGAGAGCCAGCTGACTCCCAGCCCCAAGCTCTGCCCTGGCTCCCTTCCCTGCTGTGGGACTCGGTTACAACTCTCTCCTGTCAGTCTCCTCTTATGCAGGTCTGCGTGCACTGCTCTCTCCCAGACGGCTGAGCCCCCATCACCCGTAGGCTCCAGGACATGACCACATTCAGCAGGTCGTGGGGCACAGCAGGGTCAGGGTGCAGGCCCATCGCCTCCTTACCACAGCAAAGGCCAGCCGCATAGGCCTGGAGTTGTAGATGATGTATCGTCTCACTTGGGGCTCCAAGAGGGCACTCTCAGCCAAGCTCCTGTACTGGTCGGCCGGGACCTGCAGGGACCAAGGGGTCGGGGGCAGCAGGTAGGGTGAGAGAGAACAACTGGTCAGGGAATTGGTCGTGGAGAGGCACACCCCTCCTCCCTCCACAGCAAGCTCGTCATTTCTAGTTCATGTGACTATCACGCACAAGGGGGGTCAGGGACATGCTGGGTCATCCCAGAGGGTGGAATGAGTTGCTCAGAGCTCTGGACTTAAAGCACAGGATGCCCTTCTCACCCAGAGAAGAGACAACTCCAGGAGATGCAGATCCAGAAGGACGCCCTGGAGAGGGACCCTGCAGTCTGAGGCTCAGTAGCTCACCACAGACCAGGGATGCCCAATGGTTAGGGCCCAGGCTCTGAGTCAGCCAGTTCACACTCATGTGCTGGGTGAACTGGAACAAGTACCCCACTTCTCCGAGCCTCAGTTTCCACCTCTGTAAGATGAGTATGAATAAGAACATTCACCTTGCAGAGATGTTATGCCTGTCCAATAAGGCTCCTCTGTGCAGTGACAGTAAGTACACAGTCAAGCATCAAGCACAAGGCCCGAACCCACATACGATGGCGCCCCAGTGGGCGTACCATACAGGTGCAGTCTCAGTGTGGGGGCTCTACCATCAGGCTTGCACAACTACAAAAGTTTGAACACCAATGACTTTACCTAAAGCCTCAGAGCACATCCCCATCAGCAACACACAGAATACATGGACCCTGTCCGCCAGGGACAGTTATGTCTTAGTGAGATCTGTGTGTCTCTCTCACCTGGACGCTAGGTGTATACTAGCCCAGGGGGCGTCCAGAGAGAGCCCTGGATATGCAGATGCAGCGACCAGTCGTGCGAGATTGACAGCTCTTAATATAGTGCAAAGCACTGAAAATTCCCCTCTTCCTGCCTGAAAACATTCTAGTACATCAGGCCCTGGTGAGGGTAGAATGTTTAAGAAAATACATTGGAACCATTAAGGATGATGTTTAGGAACATTGGAGAACAGTTTGTAAACTGATGAGCACTTCAAAAAACAACAACAGGAAGACAACTGTCTTGGAAATATGTTGTGTGCAAAGACTAAGAGGGAACAAGGGGAGAGGAGTCAGCTGCTCTGGGGCAGGCATGCTGGGCTGGCTCTCCACAAGGACTTCCTCTAACAGTGGGAAAATGTTGTTTAAAACAAACGCCCCTGCAGGGCCTCCCTGGCAGTGCAAGGGGCTAAATCTCAGCAGGATGTGGCTCTTACAGCCACTGCAGCACAAGTTGGATCCCCGGCCAGGGAGGATCCACAGGGCACAGCAGCCCTCTCCTGTCCCACCCGCTGCTCCCCTCAGCAGAGTATTTCAGTGGATGTGTCTGTTCTGCTCGCCCCCCTGTCTCTGGTGAATCCTCTCATCTACCACACCTCTGGTCTACACTCCAGTTTTTGTATACATAGATAAATCTTTAAAAAATAAACATAAACAACACTGCTCAAAGAAGTAAACTTGCAAATTCTTGGGATAATTCAGTGTGGCTTCAACCCACAACTAAGCTTCCCTGGGCAATGCAGAGGAAGGCCTAGTCATGAGGGTCTGAGGGGAGAGACCGAGCCACACCTCTGAGTACTTAGTAACAGCAAGAGCAACAACTGATTCGTGCCCACTGTGTGCCAGAGACAGTACGAGAGTTTCTCGAGCACCATCCACTTAACCCTCATAAAAATCCTATGTGACAGGGATTCACAAGGTTCTTGTTTACAGATAATGAACCTGGCCCAGGAAGGCTGACTCATTTCCCCAGTCACACAGGCGGCAAGCGGCAGAGCAGATCACAGATGCGTGCAGGCTGCAGGCCCTGCATCTTCAGCTGTGGTATTCGACTGCCCTTCCCTCCGTACGTCCGTCCCCTCTTCACCCACATGCCCACCCCCTGTCTCCAGCAAACTCCTACTTTTCCTTCAAGATCCCAAATTAAATAGCTGCTTCTTTGAGCAGATTTCACGGTCACTGCTCCCATGTTTATTGTTTCTCCTAGGAATGTTTTCAATGCCTTGTTACACCTCCACTGTGGCTTGCTACCAGGCTGCCGTGTTCATCTGACACATGAACCTCTCCGCTCTCTCCTTCCCCATGGAGATCGCAGACCCGTAAAGAATACAGATGTTTTGAAAGCCACTGTGCGTGGAAGCAGTATTCAGTGGTCCTGTTGCAGCAGAATCGGTTACAGAGATTGATTCTGTAGTACTTAGTACCCAGCTAAATGCCAGGTGCAGGCAAGGTACCCACAGCTGTTAAGTGAATTCACTGGAAGGGGATGTTCTATAGTATATTTTCCTTTTATCCTCCACCCTAGCAAGTACAGAGGAAGTGCATAATCAACATTTGTGAGTATCTGGAGAAAAGGGTGGGCACACAGGTGGGCAGATGGATAGAAGGAAAGATGGCAGGGACTCAATGAAAGTCGGCACTCACCTGAATCCCCCAGGTCTGCAGCTGCTCTTCCGCTACTCCCAGATCGAAGGAGATGGGTGCGCAGGTATTGTCGATCCGGAGGACCGTGAGCACCTGGCCATTGTGGAGCTCTGAAAGTACAGCAGCAGCAAGAGCGATTCTGGATGGGCCCAGAGTCTGCTGGCCTCACCTCCTCTGGCAGGGAGAAACTCCTCGTAGTCAGGACAGACACCGTGGCCACCCTCCAGTCCCTACGGTGAAGGACTGGACTTGATAGAGAAGTCCCCAGAGGACAGAACTGGAGCCACAGCATGGAGGCTCGCAGGACACGATGTAAGGAAGCAATTCCCAAGAATGAGAGCGTCACACAAGGAATGGGAGGCAGTGAGTTGCCCGACACAAGAGATACTCAGATACCCAAAGGCTAACTACATGGAGGAGGTGATGTAGCGGACAGTTATATAGGCCTGGGGTCCACCCAGCTGGGCAAGGCCTGCAAAGGAAGCTCAGCCCAGGAACTGACACTCTCACTGGGCTCAGAGGCTAAGAAAGAGGTGACTGACTGTGTAGACAGAGTAATAAAACCC